TAAGCCCAATTATGATATTATTGTTAGGTTGTCTTAGGATAAAATGTGTTCTTAAATTGTCACTTTATGGACCATCAAAAGTTATTTAGTCTTGGATTTAGTTATTTGTTCCTTAAATGACGCGTTTATTCTTAATAACATAGTTACAATTCTTCATATAATGGTTGTATTGGCGTATTTTAAACTATGCCAACCTATCATGAGGTTGGAGTCTTTATACTCCTGTTGGCTGATTATTGTGGAGCTTTTTTTTTCGTTTGATTTTAAATTATCATATAGTTCAATATATATAATAATAATAATCATTTTTTTTTTTTTGCTAAATAATCATATTTGTATATCATACAAAAGAAAAAAAAAATTTAACGACATTTTCAAATCTGTAGTCTCAGTATACTATAGTTTCAATCCCTGTACTCCCAAGTCTCCCATCATCAGTAATAGTAGTTTCATAATGCACATGCTTTAGACATATTTACATCAAATTGGTAATGTTTGAAATTCAACTCCGGAAATGGTATTATCCAGCCTTATTAACGATTTAACGCTCCTCATAATTTAGGTAGAACAAGGCCTAGGCCCAAATAAGTCAGTTGGGCCAAAACAGAACGCAATTCCTGTTGGGGCCCAATTCTACTTCCTGCCCGCAGATCTTCCCTTATGGGGCCCAAATTCTTGCTCATGTACACTGTGTGTGGCAGTAAGCAGTTGCGTTTTTATTTTATTTTATTGCCGTACACTTTTTTTTCTTTTTCTTTTCCTTTTTTGGCTGAAATTGCCATTTCTTTACACAAAACAACAGGAAAACGGTGTTCATTTTTCTGAAGCACCACAGGCCAAAAATGATGATTTTCATACCTTGGACGATTCGGATATCTGTCGCATGAATTTGACCATTAATTTTGAAACATTGCAGAACCTTAAAAGAGGCAAAGGGACCCACAATTAATCACCAATCATTTTCTTACACGTTACTGAAATCAATATCAGCATCTCATTTAATTCCTCATGAATCACGATGGCCGCTGAATTTAACGCCAAAAGGCAATCATCACGGGACCACAACAAGTCAATCGTACGGTGCACCGTATCCGAATTTAGCATTTGTAAAAAGAGAGTACAAAAATTGTGGTGCAGATAAATACGGTGGAAAGAATTTTCCCCTCTGCAATGCTAACCGCACGATTAACTCATTTTCCGCATGACGACCGTCGATTCGTTTGATGTTTTGTGGATTGGAGTTTTGCTCCTTTCGCCCACACGGCACACCGAACCGGAGAACGTTCGTCTCAAAATGGCTAAAGAATTTTAGGTGGTCACTAGCAACAACAAGAAGTGAGGAAATTTCCACTGAGATATTATGGCTCCGTTCACTTCACTAATTCGAGTTTAGAATTTGATTTTTGCTACAGTAAAAAGTTCTCAAAAACAGTCACATCTAACTTTTTTGCTACAGTAAAAAGTTTTCACATAAAATCACATCTCAACTCGAATTACAAACTCGAATCAGCGAAGTGAACGGACCCTAAGTACACTTTTGTCACTTCTGATGTGGAAATAAACTTTTAGACAATCTAATGGTACCTTAATTATCCTTAGAGTGTAAGTGTAACACGCACAATTTATTGATAACTTTTTTTTAATGAGAATTTGTAGTAGTTTTACATTACACGTAAATTTTTTGGCATAAACACTTTTAGGTCTTGTTTATTTTACTGATTCGAGTTTTTAATTTTAAGTTTATACAGTTAAAAGCTCTCAAAAAATATCACAACTAGCTTTTTCTGCTACAGTTTAAAACTCTCAGAAAATATCACATCTCAGCTCGAATTGAAAACTCAAATCCGCGAAGTAAATGATGTCTTAGATCACATCGTTTAAATTTAAATCTAACATCCGGCTGATAGTTAAGAAGAACAATCTCAACTGTTTAAATTTCCTTAGTGATATGAACCCTTTGGTAGGGATGTTAATGGGGCAGGCAAAAAAAAAGTCTTTAATTGATATTATAATAACTTCTCGTGTTACTACGAAGTTGTCTTTAACGTTAAGGACATATTTATCTTTCTTTGCAATATGAATAGGAAAGAAAAAGGGTGAGGCGTTTCACAATAAAATAAATTAACGAACAAGGTTAGAGAAGGGTTAAATAGGCTGGACTTAAAATTTAATTAAGTACCCTATTGCGTTGTTAATTGCTGCTTATCTGTCACTTAATAGTATAAAGTTTGGAAGTCGAGCCAATTATAGACAAAAAGAGAATCTTAAATTGTCTTTATTTGACTTTATTTAATATAATAATAAAGCATACCATGGTTGGCCTAAATGTGCATTTTTTTTTAATCAAGTTGGTATTACATTTACACTTCTTCTGATGTGGAAATAAACTTTTAGACAATCTAATGGTACCTTAATTATCCTTAGAGTGTTAACAAGCACAATTTATTGACAACTTATTTTTTTAATGAGAATTTGTAGTAGTTTTATATTACACGTAAATTTTTTGGCATAAACACTTTTAGGCCTCGTTCATTTTACCGATTCGAGTTTTTAATTTTAAGTTTATATAGTTAAAAGCTCTCAGAAAATATCACAACTAGCTTTTTCTGCTACAGTTTAAAACTCTCATAAAATATCACATCTCAGCTCGAATTGAAAACTCAAATCCGCGAAGTAAACGATGTCTTAGATCACGTCGTTTAAATTTAAATCTAACATCCGGCTGATAGTTAAGAAGAACAATCTCAACTGTTTAAGTTTTCTTAGTGATATGAACCCTTTGGTAGGGATGTTAATGGGGCAGGCAAAAAAAACGTCTTTAATTGATATTATAATAACTTCTCGTGTTACTACGAAGTTGTCTTTAACGTTAAGGACATATTTATCTTTCTTTGCAATATGAATAGGAAAGAAAAAGGGTGAGGCGTTTCACAATAAAATAAATTAACGAACAAGGTTAGAGAAGGGTTAAATAGGCTGGACTTAAAATTTAATTAAGTACCCTATTGCGTTGTTAATTGCTACTTATCTGTCACTTAATAGTATAAAGTTTGAAAGTCGAGCCAATTATAGACAAAAAGAGAATCTTAAATTGTCTTTATTTGACTTTATTTAATATAATAACGAAGCATACCATGGTTGGCGTGGTATATAATATGGAAGTGGTCTATGGCAAATTCCCTTTACGTGCAATTCCAGCTTGGTATTATAATGTGCATATTTGTCATGTTAACCGAAATTTTCCCACATATATAGCTAGTAATAAATCAAGTTGGTGATTCCTAAATTTTTTTTTAATTTGTTTACAACCATTTAACTAGTATTATTGATAATATTTCTATATTTTGACAAATTCTAAATAAGAAATGAGTGTCCAATGTCCTGCAGTAGACTTTGGGATGTGACGACTCATCAATATTGACTCAGTACTGTCTCTCTCCAAGGGCCCACGTCTGATCTAACCAATGAAACCTCGCCACATTTTCAGCTCCAAATGTTGGCTTTACCCTCTCCGTCAATGGGAGCTGCTTTCAAGTTTGATCAAATTTTTAGGCTTCGCTTGGCTGGAAAAATGAAAAATGAAAGGGAGAAATGATAAAAATCCGCAGTTTTTATGAAAGAAAATATTATAAAAAATCATGAATTATAATTTAAAATTATGGACGAATATAAAAAATAAATGTAGATAGAAAATTTAAAATATAAAGATAATTATAATAATTTTTTATATTATTTGATAGAAGAGGATGATAATTAAAAAGATAGATAATAATTTTTTTGTTTAATTATTATATTATTTATTATATTATTTGTTAATAATTACTTTTAAATAATAAAAAAAATAATTTTTTTTAATTTTAAGTGTATTAATTGAATCTTTTTATTAACAAAGGATCTAAAATGATAAATTAAAAAGAGTATTTTTCCTCTTTTATTGTACAGATGGACTCCACGTGGGCCCCACAAAGAGATGGAGCCCCTACTTTGTTACTTTAGGGAGCCTATTATCATTTTTGTTTTTTTATGAGAGGTTGAAGTAATTAAAGCCATAGAACCAACCCTGGTCAAGGAGCAGTATGCATACAACAAGGCCTTTTGTTTATAAATTATCTTTTATATTTGTTATTAATACGCATATAAATTAAAAAAGAAATAAGAAAAGAAAAGATAATTGCATTACTTTTCCTCTTTAATCTTTTGAAATCGATTTCCAAACTGATGGGTACGTAGACACAGCACGTCCGGGATTTTTTATTTTTTATTTTTTTATTTTTTTGACATAGATTCCAGGTTCAATGCATAAATAAAAACTAGAAAATTGGATTAATAAAGTTTAGTATTGGAGAAGCTGCCATAAAACTATGTGCAACCATTATGAACGAGAAAAAGTGGTGGACAAGGAAGCTTTGTTTTGAGTTTTTAATGCTATCTTATTTATTTATTAATTTATTTCCCATGCTTAGACTTTTTTTTTTTTTTGGTTCCGGGCTGAACCGTTTTTAGACTTTAACTAGCTGTATGCTCGCGCTTGCAGCGGGCAGTAATTTTATATTATACAAAGAGTTGATATTAATTTGAGAAAAAAAAAAAGAAAGAAAATACCATCCAAAGTGCTACACGTGATTATATATATATATATATATATATATATATATACACACACCCACGCACATGTAGACGTGATTAGTATAATATTTTTAAAAAAATAAAATTGAAAGATGCAGCATCAGTTTTATATATGCATAAATAATAGAGGACTAATTTGACTAATTCGTCATAAAAAACATCATTATTTGACTAATTAAGAAGAAGAAAGGATATAACTAAACCTTGTTTAACCATACTATTGTTTTTCAAAGTCTGTTCCTTTTTCTTTCATTCAGGTTGAAGAGCTTCAATGTCACAAAAATAAAAAGCGGTGTTGCAGGTCGCGTATGATATAAGAAAGATTGTTATATACACAAATATTCTTGGCTAACAAGAAAAGTTACAAAGGGGAGAGTCCGAAGAATATTGTTGTTGATCTTTTTTTTTTTTTTTTCCGCAAATGGCGGCGATGAAGAAGCGAGATTCAGCGGCGATAGTGATCAGTATGGTGTTGTTGTTGCCTTATTTCGTTATCCAGATCAAATTCTTCTCAAATTCAAAGTTGAACGTAAGCGTCGCTGATCATTCAACCAAGTCTCTTCAAGGTATGCATGCGTATATGAATATCATGGTATTCATTTTGTGTGTACGTATATGTATGCATATAATATACACACACATTTGTATATGTATATGGATACTTATATAAATCACTTCTTTCTATCTGAAAGTAAGGTTATGTATGACATATGGTCTATTTTTCACTCGGTCTCACTTCTCGTTGGCTCACATCATACAACGCCCATGGCGACAAAGCTTGTTGACCGTAAAATTAAGAAGACTAGAAGTTATTTCAACCCGAAAATTAAAAATATAAGAAGATAGTTTTCATTACTTTCTGTGTTTAATTTTCAATATTTTCAATGAATATTGAAATGTAGAAGATAGGATTAGGATTATTTCAAGAAAGGTATTAGTGGAGAATGAATTATTAGCTGTGGTATTTATGTGCAACAATACTCAGTAAAAATGGCAGAAAGTTGTAAATTGTCTTTAAAGTAGCGCAAAAAATGAAGAAACTATAAACTGCTTCCTGGCGACTGATGAGAAGTTTTGATACATGCCTTTTCATTAGTACTTATCCTTGAGATGCTTGAATTTTATGGATTGATAATGACGATCAATTACTCTAATGTTTGGTGCGCTTGGTAATTGCAAAAACGTGAAATCTTATTGTGGCACGCCCACTTGGTAACTTGGAAATTGCTTGATACATTCAATGAAATTGAATGAAATTGCCAAAATAGAAACCTGTTTTTGTTTGAATGTAATAAATCGGTGAAATGTTTTAGCTAACAACTTATAATTCAAAGTATTCAACATGTCAGTATTTTCCTTTTGCACGTCTTATTTATTTATTTTAAGACTTTTCCCTCATATTCTGTACCATATTTAAAAAAAGAAAGAAAGAAAGAAAGAAAGAAGAAGGATAAAAGCAAAACAAAAATATATATCTTGGTAATTTTGCATGATTTCTCTCATGAGATATGTAATATATAGTGATTGTCATTATCTGTTAAAATAATCATTTATAAGTTTGCATCATAAAGTTTCGGTTCAAATTTTATTTTTTATTTTTGTTGCAATATTTTTTAACAAAAATTTAAATAAATTTAAGTTCAGATTTTATATTCAAACACGTGAACCAAATGTCATTACTGATTGTAATATTGTATGAAGTCTCCAACTCATTTTCTTCGACTTTTCCTTTTAATTTTGAGGAAAAATATTTTATAATTGATAATTAATATATTCCTTCAAATGCATATGACATATTCATTATGTTCCTATAGAGGCTAGACAATAATTGGCCACAAAAAAGTATTAATTAGTCACTATAACTCATATATTTAACGGGTTATTTGATTGGAAAATTTAAAAAGTTTGAACTAACAAAGATTTACAAAATATAAAAAGGATTTGAATATCTTGATATGACATTTAAACTCTCAAAATAAAAAGATTTATAAACTCACATCCCCTTAGTTTGAACTCATTTACCAAACAAACCTGTATTATTGTGAGGTGTGATTTTCTCATAATAGGTATCCATGAATCACGCATTACAATGGATATTTTCTAAACCTTCACGAAAACGTATATGAAATCATTTTTGGCATTTTTTCCTCGTTTGGATTAATACTTATTTATAATTTAATAAAGTTTGAAGCATCAACTTTTCAACGCAAATCTAATTTAGCTATTTTTTCTTTCTTTCTATTTGTCACAGAAAGCAAACATTTGGAAGCGAAGACAATCAGCAGCAGTCGGGACCCACAACAGAACCGACCTCTATATTCTTCCCACCGAAATAGGCGAATCGTGTGCAATCGATCTCACGATTCCTACGACACCTGCGACGTCAATGGTCCAACGGTGTTGGACCCCACCACGTCGACATTTTTCCTAACAGACCCATCTGGCCCAACAGTGGTGGAAAAAATCCGGCCCTACCCACGAAAGTTCGAGAATTCCACGCAGTCCAGAATAAAGGAGTTGACTCTCGTTTCAGGCCCAAAAGGCCCACCATGCCAAGTCCAACACAATGCTCCGGCGCTAGTATTCAGTGCGGGAGGGTACACTGGAAACTTCTTCCACGAGTTCGGAGACGGGATAATCCCGCTCTATATCACAATCAATACGCTCTTCAACAACCGTCGCCAAGACGTCGTCCTCGTGATTTCCAAATCTCGCGATTGGTGGGTCCACAAGTACTCGGAAGTTCTCCAGAGCCTTAGTAAACACCCAATCATAAACCTCGACAACGACACCGTTTCGCATTGTTTTCCCTACGCTAGATTGGGTCTCATCTCCCATGGCTTCATGACCATAAACCCTAATTTACTCCCAAATCCAAAATCCCTAATTCAATTCCGAGATTTCCTTGACAAATCCTACAGCCAAAAACCAATCTCCAAGAGCTCCATACCCAATCCATCTAAGACTCGGCCTCGACTCGTTCTAGTGAGTCGAACCGGCAACGTCGGCCGAGTTCTGTTGAACCAGGAAGAGGTAAGGAAAGAGGCAGAGAGATTAGGATTTGATGTGGTCGTGTTCGACCCATCACCTAGTACGCCTCTGGGATCAGCGTACGATCTAATTAATTCGAGCCACGCGATGGTTGGGGTCCACGGGGCTGCGTTGACCCACTTGCTGTTTTTGAGGCCGGGGTCGACTTTTATTCAGGTGGTGCCACTTGGCGTGGGCTGGTTGGCGGAGGTGTGCTTCGGAAAACCGGCCAGAGAGATGGGGTTGGCATATGCGGAGTACAGGATCATTGCCGAGGAGAGTAGTTTGGTGGAGAAGTATGGGAGGGATGAAATGGTCATCAGAGATCCGGTGGGTTGGAGAGGGAAGGGTTGGTCCAATGAGGTTATGAATGTGTACTTGAAGGAACAAAATGTTAGATTAAATTTGGATCGATTCAGAGGGTACTTGAAAGAAGCTTATAGAAAATCAAGGAAGTTTATGAAGAAGGAAGGGTAGATTAATATATAGTGGATGATTAATGGATTTTTGCAAGTTTGGAGTATGATAATGGAATTAAACAAAGAGATTAAATACTTAATAAAAGAGATATATATATATATATATATATCTATCTATTGGTTTGTGCATACTAATGTGATCAAAGTAAAAGGGTAAGATTCCCTTAATAGTTATGCAAATTTGGTGAGGTTCAAAGTTTGATTTTTTTCCCCCCCTTTGAAAAACAGAATCTGATGTTTTTACTCTCAAATTAGTTGTAAAAAAGGTGCGTGTTTCTGAATAAACAGACGCTTAAAAACTTGATTTAATCATGTTGAAGGAGTGTTTGAAAGAAAGTCTATGAGGAAGCCAAGGAATTGATGAGCAAGTAGGGGGGTAATTATTGTTTGTTTCTATTATCATTTTATGTGTTTGAATGAAACATTGAAGCCATATTCACGATAAAAGAGATTACCCTTGATTTTCTTCCACATCTCTTTTATTGTTTTGGTACTTTTCTTCATGTCAATATATACAAAGGAAAACATGAATGAAAAACTTTTTCGCCAAAGAGAAAGGTGGTAGAGTAATCTACAAGGAGAAAAGGAGAATAGAGGAAACAAGAAACACTAGGAGGATAAAGGAAACAAGACGTGTTAGTTGTTTCTTTATATACATATACATATATATACACACATATATGTTATATGTCAAATTGGAGATTTTTATAAGTGGCGGTAACTCTCGACAATATGTCGTTCTACGCTCATGTGAAATATCTTTAAATTTAGAGTTTTATTATTATTATTTGATTTTTTAGAAGGTGAAGTGAAATTTATTAATCAAAAATTGCTATTAGAATATTCTTCTAACCAAAATCTATCTTCATTCAAAGAGAGAAAATTTCACTAATGTGTGATCATTACTGACACGAGAAATGTGACTACAAGAACCACCGTTAACTTCATTCGTCAACCAAAATAAGTAAATAAAGTAATCATATAACCACCGAATTTCTTTCTCTTTTGAACGAGAGTATATAGTAAATTCTCATAGGCGTGGTTGCTAGTAAGTTTTACAAGGAAAGTTCTTAAATTTACTAATTTAGTACGAATTAGTGGAAACAATTTACATTTTAGAGGATTTACTACCATTCATGAGGTTTTTTTTATGCGTATAAATTGGCCTATAGAGCAGATGTACTCCAAAACAACATAATTCAGTGTATGTTCAGAGAATTTGAGAGTTAACACTTTCTATACTCATGGTGCAAGGCAATCCCAATAATTTCTGTACGCTAGTAATCAGTTTCTTCTCTGCATCTTTTCATTTTTTCTCTCTTCTCTATCTTTCACAAGATTTTCTTTTCCCATTATTCATTGCATGTAATTATTATTATTTTTTTTAAGTTTATTGTGTATGTATATGTTTTCTAAAGAACTCTTTGGTAGGAGATCTCTATATAGGTTCGACTTATTCTTAAACATTATATTATATTAAAATGATATGAAAGTAAAAAAATTTATGCAAATATGATTTATTTATTCGATAAATTCTCTCTATAAGTTAGTGCTAGTGTTGATACTTAAACCAAGAGTTTGCTTTCGCCTTTTCTTTTCTTAAGTTTTATTACTTGCACACGTTTTATTTATTTATTTATTTTTAAAATTTTTCTATTCCTGTCTTGATTTTTGCAGGTAAAGTATTATACGACAGAATCCTCAATAAAAATTGTTTTTCTTGTCGTTTAATAAGAGAGATATTAAGAGCTTCAGGCCTATGCAAGTGATAATGCTGAGAAGAAGAAGGTTAATAGCGACATGTTTTGCAATGCTGATATGCATCTTCATATTCCTACATTTCGTTTTCTTCACACCTGTTAAAAATTCCAAAACTTTCCAAGGTAAACCTTCTATAAAAACTCTCCTTACAATGGTAATTTTATTGTCGTCCATTTTTTTTTTTTTCCTTTGAAGATTCTATATTGGTATGTGAAATAATAGGGAAAGTTAAGAATAATGATATTAATAAGAAAAACTTAAAAAGGTAATTACCTAATTCATTAACTTTAGAGTCAATATTTAATAACTTTACTCATTGTTCTCCTAAAACCAGGCCCCACTATATCTTGCTATATACTGCTTTAAGTTGATAGTTATTTTATATTTTACTTTTGTTTTCTAAATTTTTACTTTTTTATTCCCTTTGAAACTTGGGCGCTTATAATCGATTTGTGGCTTTTGTTTACAGAAGTAAAACAGTGGAAATCGCAGTTGGATTTTTCATTGCCACCCTTGAGAGCAACAAAGCATGTTCGACAAATCATATGCGACCGTTCTCATAGCAATTTTGATCTATGCTCGATCAACGGTCATACTCTATTGGACCCAAGAACAACTACTCTGTATGCATTGGACCCCACCAACTCGAACCCACCAATCACGTTGTTGAAAATCCGTCCCTACCCTCGGAAAGCAGACAAACGAGCAATGTCAAGTGTCAAAGAGCTGAACATCACCTCAATTCCACCCAAGATTAGTTGTGGAGTAACACACCATAGTCCAGCCCTAGCATTCAGTGCGGGTGGGTACACGGGAAACTTCTTCTGTGACTTCAGTGATGGCTTTGCTCCCTTTTTCATCACCATCAACTCTCTCTTCTCCAATCGAGATGTGGTCCTCGTGATCTCTGATATTAGAGGTCGGTGGGCCCAAAAGTATGCCGAACTACAGTCTCGCATAAGCAAGCACCCGATCATTGACCTCAACAAAGAAAATGTCGTCCATTGCTTCCCATCGGCGATTGTAGAGTTTAAGATTTAGGATTTAAAGGCTCATAATTCAAAAGACAATAAAGGTGGACTCCAAATTGCTACTAACCCCAAAACCCTACTTTCCTTCCGCACATTCCTAAAAAACGAGTACACCCAAAATAGCACTCAATTGACCGACCATATAAAAAATGTTAGGCCACGGATGGTCTTAATAAGTTGTAAATGCAACGTCAGCAGAGTAATACTAAACGAAAAATGAGGGGTGAAAGTAGCTGAAGAACTCGGAGCCATTTATGGACGGCAATGATATATCATTTATCTATTTTTTGTTATTAATATTAATAGTTTCTAGTGGAAAAATGATAATTCACCGCTACATGAGTTGGGTATCAAAAAGTTGGAACTTCAAATTGAGATTTCTAGTATTACTTTAAAAATTAAAAAAAAAGAAGAAGCAGGAAATGGAAGGAAAAAAAAAAGGGAGAAAATGGTAAGGAGTTGAGAGCATTATTGTTAGCAAAATAAGGAACAACTGAACAACAAGAGAAGGAAAAAAGAATAGTCTGAATTTTTCATTGAAAAATTAACCTAAAGTTATGAAATATATATATGCCTATAGAACGATTAATTTTGAAAAAGTGCCAACAGAAATACATCATAACTGACATGAATATGATTAACAAAATCTGTAAAAACTATTATGCGTCGGAAAAATCCATAGTCTAAGAAAAGAAAATCCATCTCCAGTTCGACAAAAATACTCTAATTCGACATTCGGGGAAAAAAAAAAACACCCTCTGATTTCAAAATTTTAATGTACAGGTAGATGTAATTTGGACATTTTATGCGTTACACTTACAATTCTAACAAGAAACGCAATTGGTGCTTGGTGAGAGTTTGAGTTGTTTTTATATTGAATCCTGCGTTCAACTTTTTTTAGATGGATGGGTTTAAGTTTTAGAGGAAAAGCAAAAAAAAAAAAAAAAAAAAGGTAATTAGGGGTATTTTGTTATACATTGTGTCAGGATAATATAGCAGAGGTCCGACAGAAGAAAAAAAACGTGTGGGGAGATTAAAAAAAAAAAAATCAAAGTTAGTGCTGTTATTTTTCTAAAGTACTTTTTTAGTGGTACATTCATAAATAAAAAATAAGGGTACAGGGTACCTAAGTAATTAAAGAGTGTTTAAAATTCATTTTAAAATAATTTTATTTTTTTATAAAAATAAAAATAAAAATATTTTTAATTTCAGACAGAAATTATTTTTAAAAATATATTTATTAATTTTATTAAGAGATTATTTTTAATATAAAAAATTCATTAATATTTTTCTCTTTTTGTGTTAAAAAAAAGAAAATATTTTTTATTTTTTATTTTTTTTTCATTTTACATTAAATAAAAAAATTATTTTCGTTTCTTTTTGTCAAGTGTCAAAGAGCTGAACATCACCTCAATTCCACCCAAGATTAGTTGTGGAGTAACACACCATAGTCCAGCCCTAGCATTCAGTGCGGGTGGGTACACGGGAAACTTCTTCTGTGACTTCAGTGATGGCTTTGCTCCCTTTTTCATCACCATCAACTCTCTCTTCTCCAATCGAGATGTGGTCCTCGTGATCTCTGATATTAGAGGTCGGTGGGCCCAAAAGTATGCCGAACTACAGTCTCGCATAAGCAAGCACCCGATCATTGACCTCAACAAAGAAAATGTCGTCCATTGCTTCCCATCGGCGATTGTAGAGTTTAAGATTTAGGATTTAAAGGCTCATAATTCAAAAGACAATAAAGGTGGACTCCAAATTGCTACTAACCCCAAAACCCTACTTTCCTTCCGCACATTCCTAAAAAACGAGTACACCCAAAATAGCACTCAATTGACCGACCATATAAAAAATGTTAGGCCACGGATGGTCTTAATAAGTTGTAAATGCAACGTCAGCAGAGTAATACTAAACGAAAAATGAGGGGTGAAAGTAGCTGAAGAACTCGGAGCCATTTATGGACGGCAATGATATATCATTTATCTATTTTTTGTTATTAATATTAATAGTTTCTAGTGGAAAAATGATAATTCACCGCTACATGAGTTGGGTATCAAAAAGTTGGAACTTCAAATTGAGATTTCTAGTATTACTTTAAAAATTAAAAAAAAAGAAGAAGCAGGAAATGGAAGGAAAAAAAAAAGGGAGAAAATGGTAAGGAGTTGAGAGCATTATTGTTAGCAAAATAAGGAACAACTGAACAACAAGAGAAGGAAAAAAGAATAGTCTGAATTTTTCATTGAAAAATTAACCTAAAGTTATGAAATATATATATGCCTATAGAACGATTAATTTTGAAAAAGTGCCAACAGAAATACATCATAACTGACATGAATATGATTAACAAAATCTGTAAAAACTATTATGCGTCGGAAAAATCCATAGTCTAAGAAAAGAAAATCCATCTCCAGTTCGACAAAAATACTCTAATTCGACATTCGGGGAAAAAAAAAAACACCCTCTGATTTCAAAATTTTAATTCCCCCCAGTTTCCAAACCCCAAACCCCCGATACAAAAAACGGTGGTGAAAAAAGGAAAAACAAAAAAAAAAAAAAAAAAAAAAGGTAATTAGGGGTATTTTGTTATACATTGTGTCAGGATAATATAGCAGAGGTCCGACAGAAGAAAAAAAACGTGTGGGGAGATTAAAAAAAAAAAAATCAAAGTTAGTGCTGTTATTTTTCTAAAGTACTTTTTTAGTGGTACATTCATAAATAAAAAATAAGGGTACAGGGTACCTAAGTAATTAAAGAGTGTTTAAAATTCATTTTAAAATAATTTTATTTTTTTATAAAAATAAAAATAAAAATATTTTTAATTTCAGACAGAAATTATTTTTAAAAATATATTTATTAATTTTATTAAGAGATTATTTTTAATATAAAAAATTCATTAATATTTTTCTCTTTTTGTGTTAAAAAAAAGAAAATATTTTTTATTTTTTATTTTTTTTTCATTTTACATTAAATAAAAAAATTATTTTCGTTTCTTTTTATTTTTATTTTTCTTACGTTAAACATCTTTTTAAAAATATTTTTATTTTTTATTTTTAAAAACGTAAAAAATAAATACAAATCAATTCTAAAGACGCCAAACGGATACTTATTCTCATTTTCCCAACTCTTTCAATACGAATTTCCTGCAAAAACATTCTCCTCCTCCTTTCTACAGCAAGTGCACCAGCAGCAATGGCTTCAATGTCTTCCAATTTATCTCAGAAAGTCAATACGCGAAACTTTTCAAGACCCATTTCGCCTTTTGTCTCCAAGATCACTCTCAGACCAACCTATAGCCATTTTCGATCAAAAACGACAATAAAAAACTGTCGCCCTCTGCAAGCTTCTTCTTCTTCTCCGCCGCCCATCAGGTATGAATGTTTGTGCTTTTGTTTGTTTTTTGTCAATTCCTTTCTCGCTTTACATAGATCACTGAGTATCTCGTGACAACTAGCAAAAAACCTTAGCTTAGTACTAGATTTCTAGTTCATATTACATTTTATAAGGTTGTTATTTGAAAAGAACAGAAATTTATGGAACGAAAAGGGCGTGATGGGGATAATAATATAATGGGAATGTTCTATAGAGTTGAAGTTGTTTGAAAAAAGAGTCAAATTGACTTGACTCTGCTTGTTTGATGTGGTCATTGTGTTATTATTATTATTTTATATATTTATTTTTTTTATGTATATATATAACTAAGGCAAATTTTTGCTACGTGGGTTCATGAAACTATCGAAGTGTTAGTTGGATAATGCTTCTTGTTGATGCAGATTTTCGGGGAAGAAAAGGGTAGATGAAAGTGAAAGCTTAACTCTAGACAGCATAAGACATTCTTTGATTCGACAAGAGGATAGCATTATATTTAGCCTTTTGGAGAGGGCTCAGTATTGTTACAATGCTGACACCTATGACTTGGATGCGTTCTCAATGGACGGTTTTCGGGGATCTTTAGTCAAGTTTATGGTCGGGGAAACTGAAAAGCTCCATGCCCAGGTGAGGGGATAAAAACACTATGGAATAGATAGATACTGCAATCATACTCCTAACATTGTTAAAGGCAGCAATTCCTACTTTAAGAAGTGAGCCTCTATTTTTCTGAAGTGTGTTCGCTTTCTCGAATAGGTAGGCAGGTACAAGAGTCCTGACGAGCATCCTTTCTTCCCAGCATTCTTACCTGAGCCAATGCTTCCACCTTTGCATTACCCGCAGGTATTTATTGAAATCTTTATTTTTGTGCATTGCAATAACTTACTGGTCTTTTTAAAACAAGATCTTATGAATTTGGTTATGAACAAAAATGTTGATGCGCGTCATCATCGTAAGTTTATAACTTGATGGAATTTCAAATTTTGCTAATGGAGATGGATAGTGGGTAATTTCCATTGTGTTCACTTCTTGCGTTTGATCTTGGAACACTTTTAGAAATAAGTCAAACTTTCATATTAAGTGTAAAGGAATACCAATACATTGAACTTTTGCTATATATCAGCTAAAAAATAATGCACACATGTAATTGTTGTCGGAGAACAATACGAACCCTTGACTCAACAACTGCCTTGTTCATCTTGGAGGTTGTCAAAGTGTTCAATTTTTCTGTCTATGATTTGTCGTGATAATTGTAACGAAATGGTCAAAGTTCAGTTTATTGCAAATAGCAGATGTGGGAATTTTAGCTCTACTTTCAAATTTTCAATGATGATAGAATTCAAACATTGCTTAGATGATATTATTATGTAACTTTAGCTACTGGTTATGAACATTATCCAGGGGAAGAAAATATCACTTTCTACTGATTCAATAGGAAGAATTGTTGATAAGTTGTTTATGCTCTGATGCCTTTTTGTTATTTAACTAGGTTCTGCATCCGTGTGCTGATTCAATCAATATAAACAACAAAGTTTGGAATATGTATTTTAGAGATCTTCTTCCCAGATTAGTTAAAGCAGGAGATGATGGTAACTGTGGATCTGCTGCTGTTTGTGACACCGTCTGTTTGCAGGTATTTCACTTAAACTTAGAAGATACTGCTGCTACATTCTTATAAACTATTCATTGGTTTCTATAGACATTGGAAGGAATCATAATCATTAGTCCTTAGTTACTGCTCATTTTCGAATCATGCTTTTCCTGAATTCATGTTATGGTGGTATGATCAATAATAAACTCCTTAGTGGCTTTCCATAGTCTACGCTGCTTTATGCCCCATTGCGTTTTGGTGCTAATTGTTAAAAGCAGCAAAATTTTGATACAAATACACGATTTGTAGTCTTCGTTCTTCTACGACTTCTTATCAATTTACATCTCATGTGGCTTTATTATGCAATTTACATCTCATGTGGCTTTATTATGCATTAACCCCCAGTTAACTCCTTAAGTAACTCTCTTTTGGACATTTATCAGACGCTCTCAAAGAGAATCCACTATGGCAAATTTGTTGCAGAGGCAAAATTTCTCGAGTCGCCTGCTGAATACGAGGCCGCTATTAAAGCTCAAGTACATGGTTCTTCCCAATTTCCCCCGGATTATCTTCTCTTTTGGGTATCTCATGGATGATGATTAACTTTATTACACTCTAATCCTGTTTTCGCATTTTCGGATTGTGGTTCTTGCAGGAAAGAGCTCAATTGATGGAATTGCTGACATATGAAACAGTGGAAGAAGCAGTCAAGAGGAGAGTAGAAATGAAGACTAAAACATTTGGCCAGGAGTTTAGGATTAACGAAGAGAATGATGCAGTTAATCCGGTTTACAAAATCAAGCCGCGCTTAGTTGCGACTCTCTACGGGGATTGGATCATGCCTCTGACAAAGGAAGTTCAAGTTGAATACCTGTTGAGAAGATTGGATTAGACTGAGTACTTTGTAAAGAAAGGTTACTTTTTAGATCCTAATAATAATAATAATAACGAAATTAATCTGAATAATTTCATAATTTTTAGTTTAGTGGAATCTGTACTTCCCTGCATTATGTTACTCAGTTGACTGAATTGAAACTGCAATAAGAGTCACTATATACAAATGAACACTTTACTAACTTTTTCCTAAACCAGACAAAGCTCTAACCAAGTAAGAATGCCTGATGGCATCACCTGTGTTGAAGTAGCATCAGTGCATCACTAATAGAAGAGAGAACCCCATACTGCGAGATCTATTTTTGACGTTTTTTTGGTGTGCTTGTACGTGATATTCGTATGATGGGAAGTTCTTATCACGGCATGGTTTTGTAGTAAAAAAGAGAAACTAACGAGTTATGAATATTATAATACCAAAATAAATTTGTTGCCATCACTTGCGCTTACACCTGACACAGTTTCCACCCGTTCTGCGAATTTGTAAATCGAGATATGAAAGTTTCGTGAAGCATGATTGATAGCATTGTGGGAGAGAGGCCAGCTAATGAATGACTTTTCATCCCAAGACACGAGAAAGATACGTCTCTTCCTGGTTTTCTATTAGTCATCACTATCGACACCTTTTCTCTGGTCGGTGATCTTGTCGTTCACAAATGGCAATATTTCCCACGACCGCCAGGACTTCATCCGTAATAAGCTGGAATGGGGAACAATAATCGAGAATAGCAACAGGGATTCGGAGAAAATCTTAAGAGACGTTTAGTTTATAAATTAAAATTATTTTTGATTTACGTGTATTTTTTGTGAAAGAAAATATTGTAGCGAATTATGAACCATGATTCAAATTATAGTTTGAATTTTCTAATTAAACATCTCCTATTTTCAAGTTGTGACGGGATAGGAATTGAAAAACCACTCTTCCCCTTATTATTCATATGTTATATATATCTATTTTTGTACAGATACATATGTATATATACACATAATCCAACCCCCTGTTGTCATCCCTATAATGTTGTTTTCAAATTGACATTGTTTTTGAAGGGTTTTATTGTTTTTTTATTTTCTTGTATATCTGGTCGATGTCGTATTTGTGCATTATTGTTGTTTTCGGACTTTCGTCTTCTTATGTCACCTTGAATTTCTTTCCATGTCGTTTTTGTTGTTGTTTTCTCAATTGGTTTTAATCGTGAAAAGAATATTTGATAAAATTGTTAATAAATAAGATCACTTGACAAACTTTTACGTAAACCAGATGACCAAGGAAGCTTTCATTGTGACATTATTTCCACACATAAAGATTATTGAGATAGGAGTAATGACTTAATAGGCACTTAATCTATCTCTTTTAAGCCATATACTTGACACGAATGAATAGTTAAAGAGTGCTCATCTAAGAAATAACACATGTAATGTTATAATTGATGTGTCAATTGTAAATTTAATATTTAAGTATAAAAAACACTCTACAATGTTATTTATCATGGCAAATTTACTATATGTTATATATTGTGACAAATTTCTCACAAAGTACAGGCTATAGTCAATTTGCCACAACAAATAACATTACATTATAAAGTGTTTTTTATCCTTAAATGTTAAATTTATAATTGACACATTAATTATAGCATTGCATTGGCATATGACAAATTTAACATTTGATTCATATTGGTTGATACGGTTACTTTTTCATTTAACCATCATATTATTTTAAAATTAAAAGTTTACTTTTATAACTTTAAAAGCTTAATGATTATTAAAAAAATATATTTTAGCATTTTAAATAACATTATATATTGGAGCAAAAATAAAAATAACATGTAAGAGCATTTCTAATGCAATACTGTAATTGATGTGCCAATTATAAATTTATCATTTGAGTGTAAAAAAAAATCTCAAATGCAATATTATTTGTCGTGCTAAATTTTTCACATGCTATACTTTGTGACAAATTTCTTACTAAATATAGTATATGAGAAATTTAACATTTAATTGCTATTGGTTGAAATGTTTATTTTTTTATGTAATCATTACAACTTTTACATTTTCTAATTATTTTAAAAATAAAAATGTACTTTTACAACATTCAAAACTTAATAATTATGAGAGAAATTAAATTTAACATTTTAAATAGCATCAAAAATTAAAATAACATATTATCATACTTTTTAATGTTGAATATATAATTAATATTAATATTTATATTAAAGATAATCTAATATTATATTTTTTAATATTAAATACACAATTTACATTAATATATTTAATTATTAAAGATGGTCTAAGTTCTTTTTCATTCATCAAAGGTGAAAAAGTAATTTTAGTAAGAGTGACGCTGTGGCCTGTGCAAAAACAAAAGAATGGTTACTTAACGATAATTTGAAGGTGTCACTTTCTACCTTTTGACCTACAAACTACGCAATCTTGACCCCACCATGTGCCTTCCAGCATTAGCATCTTCCCTCAATAAACCTTTTTTTTTATTATTATTATTCTTTGGCTGCCAATCGTTGTATGAGATGAAATTGCTTGCTATTCCTAAATGAACAGGAAAATTCTTTAACAGAGTTATAAGAAAGTATCTTAACATTATTGGTAGGTTATCATTTGAAAAAAATCATATTAGATTAATAAAAGTGAGATAATTTATAAATTACATTTATAAAATTAATCTATAAAATTTGATAAAAACCCAAGGATTTAAAATTGCATGTATAGTTGAGTAATTTTTTGATACTTGGTTCATGAATTCAAACCATGTGATTAAAATAATTTTCGATTTACGTGTATTTTTTGTAAGAGAAAATATTGTAATGAACCACGAATCATAATTCGAATCAAGAAACGAATCTAGGTATCAAACGGACTCTAAAATTTTCTTATAGAACGGTTTTAAGTCTACTGTATTTTGTGTTTTTTCACACAATGAAATCCAAAACCCTTTCAAGTGAATGTAAAATGCTAATGTACTTTCGCAAAGGGGTGAAAAAAAAAAGTCAAATCATCCCCTGCCAGTTGTTTGCCGTGTCTCAACCCATCAAACTGCGGGTTCGAACTGCCGACCCGGTCATTCATAATGGGTAGTTTCGATTTGGGGTTTTTTAAACGTTCTTTTACAAAAACGAACCACCTACCATTATGTCCGCTTGCATGTGTGTTCGGATTTTCTTAATGACGTTTCATATTTGATGTTTTTTTTATCTTAAATAATTGTAGGGTGTTTAGTATAAGAATTCATATAATAATTTAAATTATAATTTATGATTTGTTATAATATTTTTTTTTATAAAAAATACACATAAATTAAAAATAATTTTAAATTATAATTCTAAATACCTTAATGAGCTTAAAACATACTAAAAAATCACAAAATTACTTTTCATAGAAAAAAAATATTTTTACGTTTTAATAAGGCTCAATTGGACACAATTCATCATGTACATCAGGCAATGAGAAGGAAGATTTTTTTTTGTTTCTTGGCCTTTTTTTTCCTCCTTTTTAAGACCTTGTTTTCCACAGCTAATGGGTGACAGGTTACACTTTTGTAATTACAGCGAGGTTCTTTTATTGCATTCCATGGACCCAATGAGCGCCACTTTTCACATTACAGCAGCAGGTTTGTCTCTTTGTGCCCACTTCCAGATTTGATCAGTACTTAAAGCACTTTACTCACTTTAATCACATTAGTCTTTCTTTCTCTCTCTCTCCTCCTCACAACTTCAACTCACAGAGAGAGAAGAGAACAGAATAGGAGAGAGAGAGAGAGAGAATGGAGAAGGCTCTGACTAAAGTGAGTAGCTTAAAAGTTGGGAGCTTATGGATTTCAAAGAAAGCCAAGGAGGAGTTCTCTAACATCTCTGAGGACCTCACTGTGAGTAATGGGTTTTCTGTATTTGTATGTAAATGGTCTTTTCATTTTTTTTTTCTTTGGTATTAATTTCTTCTCTCTCTTTCTGTCTTTGTTATTCTTGTTGCTCCTTTTTTGCTTTATCTTCTGTGCTCGTTTCCTTTTTCGCTTAAATGTAATGTGGGTTTTCATACTTTTCATGATTTGTTGCAAGTAATGCTTTTTTTTTGTTTTTTTGTTTTTTTTGTTTTTTCCCCCTCATCTGCAACTACCAGCAGAATGTGAGATCTTTGAGCTTTTCTGTGAGAAAAGGGGGTTTTTTGGATAAGGGAAAAAACAGATGAGGATTTGTGGATTCTTCGTTCAAGTCATAACGAATCTTGTGATGGGAATGTTCTAAAATATCCTAAAATTAATGTGATATTTTAGCTGTGGTGCTTCTTCTTGGAAATAAAGAAATATTTTTTTTTCTCATCTGATCTAGAAATTTTTGTTTTGATGTTTCGAAGAGAATTATTAATTGAGAAAAGAAGCTTGTTTCAAGCTACAAAGGACAAGGAAGTGATATCAAGAGGAGAACTTGTATTATTTTCTCGGATAAGAAGTGCATCTTGTATGCTCTGCTATTTTTAGTGGAAATGGCCTTTTGATTTACTAAAATATAAGCCCAGTTGACTTGATTTATGTGCGAAATAAAAGCAAGAAACTTTAATCAGGACGTGATTAGCATGCTATATACATTCAAATTTAGCCTTTAAGGCTATTAAATTTCAAATTTCTATGAAGAAATTGCAACACAATGTGAAGAGACTGACCTTAGCTTTTGACCGTGTTTTTTTGTTTTAGACTTTCTCAAATACTGTGGAGGAGAAGGCAAAATGGATTTTCAACAAACTAAAAGGTGTGAAACTATTAACCGTCCATCAAATTCTTATTTTTCCATGTATATTGTCCTCTCTATTTATGCAATCTCCTAAAGAACTTAATAGTTGAGCACATAGAGCTTGGATTCACCACACAAGAATTCACTTCCTGCTCCACATTTTCCTCGCAGGAATGCCGCCAAAAACTTTGCCGGATCTCCTCCGAGAGTACAACTTACCGCCAGGTCTGTTTCCCCAGAACATAACCTGTTTTGAATTTGACGAGTCGAAGGCCAAGCTCATCGTCTATTTGCCCTCCGCATGCGAGGTCAGCTTCAAGGATTCCTCAGTCATAAGGTACTCAAACCGAGTGAAGGCGATTCTGTTGAGGGGAAAACTTACGGGCATAGAGGGAATGAAGACAAAGGTCCTAGTTTGGGTTAAGGTCACTTGTGTGGCAGTGGAAAGTTCCAAGTCTGATAAAGTTTGGTTCACGGCAGGCGTCAAGAAGTCAAGGCCTAAGGATGCTTATCTAGCTCCAAAGGTTGCTGTTAGAGTAGAAGAATTCTGAGTCAAATATAGTGTTTTGTTTAGGCATTCTTATTGTCATCAATTTGAAGATGACCCTAGTTAATAGTGGCTTATTATTAAGTATGCATGGCTAGTTCTTTCATCTTTGTATGGCCCCTTTTTTCTTCATTAAGCAATAGTAAGAGTTTTGCTGTTATGATTTTACCTGTCACCATTGATAATGCTATGCAAATTTGTAAGTCAATGATTCCAAGTGGACACAAGATTTTTTAGCACTTGTTAGCCATTTTTATCATGTTGGATATGAAATGAAACATACAAGTTGAGTAATGGATCATAGTTCAACACTTGTCATAGCCGTTTCTCCGGCTTTTCACTTTTTCTTGCTATGGAACAACTGAAATTTTTTTTGTTATTTTCCAAAAAAGAAAAAAGAATAATAAGCTTAGCAGAGAATTTCTATAGCAATAAAATTAATCAACAATTGTTTTCAATGGATATTAGCTTCAAGAGATCTATTTTCAGCTGCTTGAAAAGTTCTCATCTGCTTGTCAAATCACAAAGGAGGTGCAGTTGTATCACGAATGATCTCGTACAAGGATATGGCATTCTCGATGGTCAGCAGGCCAATGATACACCATTCCAAGAAATCCGACTTTCTGTTTTGGAGGGCTTCTTGGAGAAAATGAATATTGTGCTGCAAAATAATAAGACATAAAGAATCAAAGTCTCAGATGAGTTCATAACAAATGCTTAGCAGAAATTGAATTATTGTGCCATTTAAAAGTTGTCTCCACCATAATTATTCTCTCTATGTGTACAACAAAATCAGTTTCCTTCATGTCAAAAATTGAATTATTTAAGTATCTATATGTTCATTTCATTTATCTTCAGAGATCAGAGTATAAACTTTTCTTCCAAGCCTCTTCACCATAACCCAAAAGAAGTAAACTCTCCATAATCTTAGAAGAACTAGACGAAAACACGTGCACTATGGAGGGTTATACTCATAACTAATAAGGGCAAAAATACCTCAACAAACTTTAATTTGAAATCCAAGTTACCAAAGCGTTGTGTGACCTCGTACTCCTCTCGAAGGTATTCATATATTTGAGCATATTTCGCATCCCTCCAAGCAATTTCTGATCTGAGGAATGAAGGATATAGCAAACATGAGGAGCAGCAAAATGCAACCCAATTTAACCAATCCATTTTATTCAAAATGCACGAGGAAAAAGAAACAAAAAAGGATTAGACGCTGTTGTGTATGAACATAATGAGATTGAACAATGGATGGCTCTGCTTTTCAAAAGTCTCACATAGTTGAGTTGTATTTCTCAAGAAAAAAACAACTATAATTAAGCTCAGTTGCTTAAACATATGCCTCAAAGGCCAAGCAAGCGTGTCTATATTCACAAGTCTCTTATGTTCAAAAAGGAAACGTATAATCCAGTAAGCATTTTGGTACTTCCTATAGCAAAATAAGCATATAAGCCAATGTTGAACTATTTACAGAACAAACTTAAGAATTGCAAAACCATCACCTCTCGAAAAGACCAACTTTGAGAATTACATCTGCTAGATTTGAATTTGCTTTTCCAACAAGTTGTAGAAGCTTCTTCTTGTCCATGGTGAAAGTTCCAGTTTTCTCCATCCTGCGATTTATGTCTGCGAATTCTTCAAGCATACCGTCAATCTGAGATAGAGAGGTTCAACATAGTCATTAACCTGAACTTATGATTACGTCAAAGGCCACTAAAGAAATGACGCTTCCTTAAGCAAAGCAACACTGTTTGCATGGCAAATTGACGAGCATGACAGAATTCTAGAGTTCTTATATTAGTTTTCAAGACAAAAAGCGCGAATCGAAAGAATAGGCAACAAAAAAGCAACCAAACAACCTTATACAACATTCTCTAAAGAGGTCACTGTTTTAATAATAAAAACCTTATTTACCTGTGAGACAAAATAATCTAAAGCAATACTCTGGCCAAGAACGCTTCCAATAATGCGGACTCCATCGGTGTCTAATGTTTTGAGAACAATGTAGTCAGCCCCTCCCAGCATGTCCTCTCTCATCAGTGGCTTCTCTTTCACGGCATAGTCTGATTCAAGACACAACAAAAAAAGAGAAAATCAGTAACAAGTTAACTCAGAACCTATCCATTTTAGCCGACGACGGTGTATTCTAGCTTGGTGATTGACACAGCACACTATGGCAATGGTACAAGCAACAGAGAAAACAATATTTTGCAACCTGAACTTGAAAGATATGTTCTGCATATTCAGAAATCTAAAGAATTATTCGTTCTTTTAGGGGTGACCTTAGATGAAAACATATAAGCAAAGCCAATTTAAATAATAAACACTGCGTGCTACAGACATTCAAGCAATACATTACAAACATCTGTCATTAAACTGCAACCGGATTCAATTAGATATAGTTAGCACATCAAACAAACTGAACTTATCAATACATGCCACTTCTCAAGGAAATTTACCATCCTTTCTCATCTCTGGAAGCAATCCAGAAGCATGTCTCCTAACCATGTCCAGGTAACTTTCAACTTCATCGTCTTCGATATTAAACAAAACAGCAGATCCATATTGGAATACGACCACATAACGGAAGCAGTTCAAATTCCGCTTTAATCCAAATCCCTAAATCAAAAGTGTCATATTAGAGAGAAAGAAAAAAAGAAAAAAACAATATATACAGCTTCCCAGAGGATTTTCAGAAATACGGGTGTGATACTAGGTATGTGTCCATCTAAAACGCCGTTGATGGAACTTGGCCAATCTAAAATACAATTCACATATCGGATGTAGTCTATCCAAAAAAAGAAAACCACCGCCAACAGCTCATTTAGCTATTGAAGGCCGATTAATAGTGCCCACTATTCCATTTTGTCATAAATGATTAAAAAGAAAGTGAGTCTAATGTCCTCCTAAGATTGCCTACAGAGAATGTTGAATGCAAACAATTAACTTCTATATTAATAATGCAAACTTATCCTACACCAATCAAAGTTAAAGAAGATTACAAACATTGACCAGGCAAAAGGAAAGGAATTGAGATCATTCTTGGATTCAACTCACAGTAGTTTGTGAAGGAATATCGTAATATCTGAGGGCAATATAATTTGACGAGCGAGACGTTGCAGGGACTACGTTGCTTAAGTTCTCAGCTTGAATGCTTTTCAAATTTATACTGCAAAAACCATGAATCTGAGAAACCTAAATCATAAAAGAACAATCTTTGCAAAAAAATGAGAAAAAGGAAGAACTTTAATCAATTCACAGATCCAAACCGATTGAAAAATAAATATATAAAATGATAGCTGCCATTGGAACTCAACAAAAGAAAAAGAGCTTCCTTTTGTATTATTAAAGTGAAATTCATCACCTAGAACATAAATTTCACAACATAAGAAACAAACCCAGATGGGAATTTACATAAAATAAATCGTAGGGACGAACCTGGTGGAAAGAAAGTAAGCTTTGACGGGAATTTTTCCAGAGTCTTCGTCTTCCTTGGGTCCAAATCCATAGTTTCGATCAAAATACAAAGACCCAGAACCGAATTCGCCGGTATCGATCGAGATTCGAGATGGGAGAGCGGAGAAAGCTCTGAAACTGAAGAAACGAGACTTGGGTATTGAAGAAGAAGGAGAGAAAAAGAATGGAGGGTTTGGGGCAAGAAGAGATTTGGAAGAAAAGGTTATGTGGTGGAAGAGAAGGGAAACTCCTCCTCTCCACTTGCCCATTCACCGGAACAAAGATTTTTCTCTGGAAGTTGGAGATTACTTTCGAAGTCTGCTCTTCCATGCCATAAAAGTACGACGCACACTAGGAGGGCCTCTCAGCCTTGCGAGGGTAACGAAAAGTCGTTTGTTTGGAAAAATGACGTGTCGTTGGCTTAAAACGACAAACAGCTGCCCACGGAATACAAGAGAGTGTTTACTATTAAAAAAAAAATAGAACTTTTTCTAATATGTCATGAATTAAGTTTTTTATCTGTCAAATTTTATAAAATCACATAAAAATTAAAAAAAATGCAGATTCAGCAATTAAAATAACCTGATAGAGAATCTTCTAAAAAAAATTATACACTAAGAATCTTTTGTATTTTTAATATAATGTTATTTTAACGGCATCCAACGGTAAAAAATGGACCAAGCCCCCCACAACCAAAACAAGGTGAGTAACCGGTAAAACGACGTCGTGTTGGAATGGTATTTTCCTGTTCAACGCCTGGAAGGCTGGACAAAGAGCGAGAAAAGAGCTTGAGGACTGAGAGAGAGAGAGAGAGAGAGAGAGAGAGAACTAGAAGTAGAAAGAAATCGTGAAGAATGTCGATTCTGGGAAATCTCAGGGTCTCTGCTGCACTGGGTTCCAATACCACAAACTCATTCCGAAGCTTCTCGCCTCCATCAAAGGTTAACACACTTTTTTCACTTTTCCATTTTCTTTTATTTTGTATCCTCTTGTTCTTCAGAGATGATTTTTGGCTTACTTATATTCCCTATTTGCATTAATCTCTGGGTTTACTCTAATTCTTCTAGTTTTAGTTATCTGACTTGCTTAATTTTCCTAGTATCCAAAAGAAATGAAAAGAGTTGGGTTTTTGATTGTGAAGATCGAAACAATACCCAAGTAATATTTTTCTTGCTACTATTACTTTCAGCTACCAGTTGTTAATATTTGTGATTTTCGATGCCGTTGAGTCGTGGGATTTGGGAACATGGTCTTGTTCAGTTTTGTACATTTCGAATCAGATTACAAATTTGGGTATGTTGCTGTGGGTATGATGTAAAGGATGTACAATTAAATCCTTACTTTTTTGTTTTTGTTTTTTTTTGTTGTTGGTTCTGAAGCAAATTCTTAGTTTGTCTAATAGATAGCTTCATATATGTTTGTGTTCGAAGCATATCCACTTTTCAGAAATTCAGTTGTTCAATTTCAATCTGTAGAAAATAAGAGGAAAATGAGTTATGTTTTCTACCCAGTGTCTTTAAATTTTCATTTTTAACTTGCAAACAGTATATACATGCATTTTAGATGTTGTCAATACCTTTGAATTTTAATTGATTACTTATCAAATATGTACCTTTTCTTAGTCAGCTACTGGTTTTGACCAATCAAATAGTGACTTTTAAAAGGATTATCATCAACTTGTTCAATCTATACCTCACAAGACAACTAGTAAAGTCATAATTTAAGCGGTAAAAATCAACGTTTGACGGCAAGAAGGTTTATATTTGCTATGAAGTTGAAATCTACAGGGACGACGTTGAAAACATCCGAAATACATGTTATATGTTTCTAATGGGTATAAAATAGTAAACAAACTTTTCAATTATAATCATTTTCTTAATTTTTTGTTGGTTCCACGATGTTAAATGCAGCTAAGGTAATGAGTGAAGTGATTAGGCTAGTTTTTAAGTTGTTGTAGGAGTTAGCAAGATAGTGCAAATTGCCTTCCCTACTTGAATTTAAGTTTTGTGCTGAATCGTATAGGTGGACTTTACTAACTTCCTTTATGGAGGATCTAGCATAACTGATGTGACACCTAAATGGCCCCATGTGGCGCTTGATAGCCGTGATTTGCGCAGACATACCAAGCAGACTTCTGGGATTGGTGGTCATGTTCAACTCTCCCCAAGGTCGACTAGCCAGGAAGCTGAGAGCTTTCTCTTCAATGTAGTCAACATGGGATTCTTTGAGCGTCTAAACTTGGCCTGGAAAATAATCTTCCCGTCGCAGAAATCTAGGAAGAGCTCCAATGCAAGGACTGCCAAGCAGCGGTTAAAGATGATTCTGTTTTCTGACCGTTGTGCAGTCAGTGATGAAGCTAAGCAGAAGATAGTCAGCAACATTGTGCGGGCACTATCAGACTTTGTCGAGATTGAATCGCAGGACAAAGTTCAGCTGAGTGTCTCTACTGATTTAGACCTCGGAACGATTTACTCCGTCACTGTGCCAGTGAGGCGGGTGAAAGCAGAATATCAAATGGGAGATGAAGCTGGATCAATAACGAATATCGAATACAAAGATACTGGAGAAACTTCTGGCTCAGTTGATGTCAGGTTTGATTTCTACATTCCTGACGAGAGGACCAATAATTTCTAAGGTCATATGTTTGGCCAGCATCAAAGAAGAGTTACTGTTACATGTATGTTTCTTTAGCCAGCGAGACAACCTTACAATTCTGTACATAAAATGAAAATTCCTGTTTGGTGGTTCGAAATTTTGCTTTCCCAGTTTGATTTCATGTTCGACTTAATGAGACTATTTGGTCTATCTATGTGAGTAAATTTTGACTTGAAGTTCTTCCTTCTTAGTTGAATTGCATCTGAGGTTTTATGTGTTATATCTTTTCACCGCAAAATGTGAGATATGAATCTTCTGGATGGATGAAACAATGGAGATAGTTAATGGTGACCAAGACAATAGCACTCTCGTAAATCGGTTCATGTTTTATTATGAAGTGTTCTACGATTTTAGTCTCTTAAAAGAGCACAAATCAAAGAATTAGACAAAATTTGAGACACCATAAATATCACCTATTCAACAAATTCCTGGGCCTGGCCCAAGAAGGCCGAAGCCCAATAATTTATTGAAAATTTGAAATAAAAAGCAAAAATGGAGAAATACTTGAGAGATGAATTAAAGTTTTTCATTTCACCGATTCAAGTTTTCAATTTTAATTTTGTTATAGTTAAAAGTTCTTATAAAATGTTATATTTAATTTTTTCTGCTACAGTTAAAAATTCTTACATAAAATTACATTTTAACTCGAATTAAAATTTTAAATCCACGGACTAAACAAAATTTAAAAGTAAAAAGATAAAAATTTTAATTTATGTATTTTTAACGAGTATTAAGATTATCTAAATAAAAGAATTTAAAACACAGGGATTGAACCCGACGTGAATCGAACACGCAACCTTCTGATCTGGAGTCAGACGCGCTACCATTGCGCCACGGATCCATTTTAGTTCTTTGTACCAGATGGTTTAATTTAAACTGATAAAAAGGGTATATTCGTAACTTCAATGAATTTGATTTATTCACCTGAATATATCTCGAGCTAATAAGCGGGAAAATCTTTAGATCTTCCAGTGTTTTCACAATCCCCGCATTTTTTTCTTTTTACTAAAGTAATATTTCATTCCACCAAAAACCAAACAAACAAACAACGAAACCCAGAAACAAAAGGCCAAGAACGAACGGAGACGCAAAGCTACTTTAACCTCGCTTTAATTTCACGGAGCGCAGGTTAGGGACCTTTTCTGCTCCATTATCGCCTTCAATCAATCCTCGTTTCTTCAGAATCATGGAGTAAATTTTGGACGTTTTCAGAATCGAATTCGTTTTCTTTTTTCTTTGGATGATCTGAGTTTAATCCAATGGAAGCGAACGGAGCTCCTTTACCGTTTCAGAATCCGATCCGGGATGCCATTTCCAGAGTTCGGTTCGCTCCGCAATCGGATAACCTCCTCATTTCATCTTGGGATTCGGTGAGTGTCTCCGTTGCTTTTGAACTGTGAAATCCTGTCGTTTTGCTTGATTTTGAGTTGTGATTTTCTGGCGTTTCAGTGTCTGCGACTGTACGATGTGGGAAGCTCGGAACTCAGATTAGAAGCTCCGTCGAAAGCTCCGCTTCTCGATTGCTGTTTCCAGGACGAATCCCTCGCTTTCATCTCTGGTTCTGATGGTTTCATTAGAAGGTCTGCCATTTTTCTTTGCTTTCATTTAAATCCATTGCAACTTGCAAGTGTTGTTTTGGTGATCTTTACATTTCTACGACATTTATTGTTAGAGTGTTGAGGCCAGCAATTGGTGTTCGCTTTGACTTATTAATTCCGGTTTGCTATTAATTTTTTGCGAAGAATAGGAATAGATAAAATTCTATTTTAGGATCTTAAGTGCTTTATACATATTTAGTAAGAGTGGCTGTCAGATGTGATGCTAATTAGAGTATGAAGGTCTAAATTCTTAGTATTCACAAGTTAGAAGATAAAGCAAACGGTGAAGGAGAAAAGTTATGGAATTTGTATCCAGCAAAACCTTTTCTTTTCTTTGACAATGCATTTTCTTTTATGCGCCTTCAACATTTGATGAGGCTGTATGTTCTGATTATTAAAGAACTTCCTCAACTTTCCTTGTGGTGACTTTTAGGTATGATTTGCATTCAGGAACTAGTGAAGTGATCGGAAATCATGCTGATCTCTCTACATGCATTGGATATTCTGACGCTACCTGTAAGCAAAATTACCATATACTTCTGTTGCCATTTAGTTCTGTTTACAAGTTACATTAGATGTTTGATCCTGTTTCTCTCACCCCCATCACTGGATTGACTTGTTTGAATTAGAGATGTCTGGGCCGGGCACGGCCCTGCACAGTGCAGGGCCGGGCCTGAGGAGAAAATCTCAGGCCCGGTCCAGGCCCGCTAGTCCATAAGGGCCAGGGCCGGGCTTGGGCCCAGGCCCTTCATGGGCCGGCCCTGGCTCTTGTAATTTTTTTTCTAAAATTTAATTAAAAAAAAAGAAAATATATCATATGTCCTCAAAAGATGTGATTTTATTAAATTGAAATAATACAAATAAGTACACATAAATGACTGTCTCGTTAAAAATATTGCCAAGTAAAATTTGTAAGGAGATCGAAACAAAACCTTAACGAAAGAAAAAAAAGTACAGTAAGAATGATTGATTTACTTTATCGTATAATTTAATGTAACATGATTGATTTTATGTGTTGGAACCCTGAACATCAGAAGTTGACATCCATGAAAAATTTGCCTTTTTTCCAGGCCAAGTAATCATTACTGGTTTGCACAAGAAAATATTATCCTGGGACACACGTATGGAGAAGGATCTTTTGTGCTTGGTGAATCTAGGATCAGAGGTGGATTCTATGTCAATTTCGGGATTTGATATAATGCTAGCAGTCGGAACATCAGTATATATGTACGACTTGCGTAATTTAAGTAGATCAGTCCAATCAAAAAAATCTGATATGGATCTTCGGATAAAATGTGTCAGCTCAGTTCCTTATTCTAAAGGTATATAATAACAATTTCTTTGCGTGTTGTATAACATGTAACCATTGCTGAGGCTGCAAAGAAAGTGTTCTGATTAGAACCGTCAATGTCAGTATTCATTGATTATATATAAATTTGAACTCACTTTACCTAACTAACTAAAATTGACCACTTCCAATTCCTGTATGCATATAGAGAGTTGCATGTTTTGAGCTTATTTTATGCCGAGGGTTTAAGATTTTCAAGAAAACTAGGTAATGAGGAATAAGAGTGGACTTTGGGGAAAATAAATTAGTTTGATTAGGATTGATTTTTATTTGATTTCCCCTTAATTGTGTGTGATTTTATGGATTTAATTAGTTTCTGGTTTTGGTTTTGGTTTTGCAATTGGCCTATAAATTGACTACACTTTTATGGACAATGCAGACTATGGTGATTTGAATATTGAAAGAATTCTCAGCTGTTTCTCCCTCTTTTGACTTCCCCTTATTCGTCTCTCTATCTCAATTGCTTTTCTAAATCCCTAATCCCTCTTCTATCTCTCTCCTTTCCCCTAAATTCCCCCCTCTTTTCTCTTCTCTACTTTCTTTCTCCCCCTAATTCTGCATCACTAGGTTTCTGCATTTTCTTTTATGCTACAACGGCATTTAACTTTTAGTAATATATGCAAGGTGTTTGAAGTAAAACTTGTGTCTTTGCACTTGCAGGATTTGCAGCTGGCTCAGTAGATGGACGCGTAGCATTGGAGATGTCTTTTTCGGCCAATTCTGATGACATTACGTCAAATTTTAGGTTATTGCCGACTTAAGCTTTGACCGCCTTTGCTTTTTGGTTAGAGAAAGGCCTTGTTTAAGTTGTTCAAAGTCTGAAAAATATTTGGTCTGTCATTGTCCCTAATTCCTTTATTCTATCTTTTCTAATGAAATCCTTTTATTTTGTGTTGTATTACAGTTATACATTCCGATGTCATCCAAAGTCAGCTAATAAAAGACTTCATCTCGTGTCGGTGAATGACATTGTATTCAACCCACTGTACGTGTAATCTTATAAGGAGTTTTACCAGAACTATTATGAAAATTTACATTGATTTTATGTTTTTTTATAGCATTGGCAGTGCTTTTTTTACTGGTGATAACAACGGTTATGTGAGCGCATGGAATGCTCAGAGCAGGAAAAGGCTATTTGAGGTATGGCTCGTTGCATTAAACTACTTGTAGATGTTATTTCTTCAAGTGAATGCTTTTTATGTTTCCTCAGGAAGTATTTTTAGTAGAGACATTCGTCTGAGTTCTGAAATAAGGATTAATTCGGATTGCATAGTATGTTTCAGTATCATTCCCTTTAGAAGGCTTAAAGTCGACAACATTTGTAGACGACAGTGAGGGGCTAAAATCCAAATAATGTTTTGTTTAAACTATGCTAAATTATTAACATACGTCGGCTCTATTAGCCTTTTACTTCTACGTGCTTAATGAGTAGGTCATTTTGGTCTCACAAAATAGCTGATTCTCCGTTGTCATATTTCATGATGTGAGCATCCAAGTGTTCTATGATTATCTACATTTGTGAACCTATTCTGGTTTAATATCATTGCTGCCATATTTCTGAAATGGGATGATGTTTTTTTTTCTTAACATATTTCAAAAATGTATGATTATCTACAGGTGTGAAGCCTCGTTCTTTTTACATCACTCTCTTGTGCGTTTGAGATGTTGGATATGTATTCTGAGGATTGAATGATGAATGCTCTCTCTCTCTCTCTCTCTCTAGTTCATGAATGGTCTCTTTAGTGGCCATTAACTTTTCATTGTTTCAGTTGCCTAGATACCCAAATAGCGTGGCTTCTTTATCAATGAACCACAAGGGACAACTTCTTGCTGTCGCATCAAGCTATACATACCAAGAGGCTAATGAAATGTTAGTGACTCTTGTATTATTTTGTCTTCTATCTTAGAAGTTTCTCCGTTTACCTATAAACATCACACGTTAAGTACAAAAGGGTGATATTCTGTCTGGTTTGATTTATTATTGAAACAGAGAAGAGCCACCTCAAATATTCATTAAAGACATTGGCAATTGCAGCATCAGATCAGTTTCTTCTGGAAGTTCAAGCAGCCACTAACCATTCGCTGAAAGAAAGAGACTTGAGGTAGAAACTGAGTTAGAAACTTAGAGCAGCTGAAGAAACGACGCGTGGTTGGCAGGCTAGTGTCTTGGGAAGTTGCATCCCATTGTAAAATTTTGTGGCGATTTATCTAATAACATTTTATGTTAATTGGCTTCATGGGTTATGTGATGATATATTCTTAATTTAGGAGATGTTTAGTTGGAGGATTCAAATCATGATTTGAATCATGGTTTATGGTTCGTTACAGTGTTTTCTCTCATAAAAAATACACGTAAATCGAAAATAATCATAATCACATGATTTTAATCCATGAATCAAATATTTCCTTAAAGTTTTCGTTTGTGTTACTAAATTGGTCGTTATAACATTATGAGACAAGGTTTTCCTTTCATCACGCTAATATCATGTATCATGAAATAAAAAAAGAAAAAGAAAAAGAAAACAATGCTATGTTTGAGATTGACCAGCTCTTCATTTTTGCGTTTTTTTTCCTCTTTGGGTGAGAAGAAACTTGCTCAAGTGTTATTTTATACTATCTTACCAGATCATTGACTTAATGGACCCCAAAAATAAATTCAAAAGAGGAAAAATAGCATATTAATATTTGTTCTTTTTTAGAAGAGTAAGGTTTCTTATTGATGGTAAGGTTGTATATAATAACTGAAAATCGAATGGCAAACGACGGCACGGACCAAAATTGACAGAAAAAATCAATGGAAGCTAGTGGTTGACGCTGTCGGTTGGTGAAACTGAACCGCATAATCTCCAGCGATTTGGTCTTTTGATTATGCTAATTTTCAATTAGTCGGTTAATTGAAAACTGACCTAGTTTTTCTTTAATGAATTTCAATGGAAGAAAATTATAGAATTTATAGTGTATGAGTTTAAATTTTTACCTTTTACTCTTGATAAATACCCTTTTGTTAGTATAATTATTTGACTAAAAAGGCCATGAATTAAGAGTAAAAATAAAAATCGTGACTCATGGACTTTTAAAGAGTATTTGTCAAGATTACCCATTTGATGAGTGCAAATATGCTAGTAGGCCCATGTTAATCCTATGCTGTTGGGCCCAATAGACGATACACATTGATAAACGACCTGCATCCACTAAAAGTAAAACCACCAAAGGGAAATGGGTCGACCAATATAAAATCTCACGACGACGAGACCGCCATAACTGCCAACATATCTCTGTCTCTCCACACTTTTCTTCTTTGACGTCAACAACTTCAAGGCCACAATGACTTCTGCAAGCTGGATGATCATCGTTCAAGTGATTGTTATTGTGACATCGACCATGTCCTGTGTACTCATTGTAACCCTAGAAGCTCCATCGGCGTCTCCATCCACCCACTTGCCCTTTCGGGCCTCTTCGATGCAGTCGCCATTGCCGACCCCCTTCTCCGTTGTCGTCGCTATTGCTGTCTCCCCTTTCGTCCTCTCCACTACCGTTTCCATCACTGTCGGCATAGCCGCACTCGACGAAGCTTTATTCCAACTCAAGAGGCTGGATCCTAGTAAGGGTGGCAATTCGTATTAGTAGGTCGTATTCGTGTCAACTCGTTTGTTAATCGTGTCAGAAAACATCAACCCAAACACGACTCATTTATTAATCGTGTTAATCGTGTCAACCCGTATAACCCATTTAAATTAATATATTGAAGAAATAACTAATATAATAATGACTTATTTAACACGGTCAAGACAGATTTACCATGTTTATTGGTCAATTTATTTTTTTCTTTAATAAAGAATAAATAAAATTTACCTACAAATATTAAAATTTACATTATTTGTATTTAATATGTCATACAAACATTCATGTTATATCACATATCATTAGATTACAGATGACACATATAGTTAATCGTGTCAATTCGTGTTAGGAGGTCAACTCTAACCGAACTCATTTATTAATCATGTTTATCGTGTCAACTCGATTATAATCCAAATCCATTTATAGTAAACCCAAACCCGCTAACTTCGTAAGGGTTTCGAGTCGTGTCATCGTGTTGCTTCATGAATTGCCAGCCCTAGATCCTAGCCATGATACTCAGGTGTATTTCGCTGGTCGCCGAATAAAAATCATGACCCATATACTTTCAAGGGGTATTTATCAAGATTACCCATTTGATGGGAGCAAATATGCTATTGGGCTCATACTAATCCTATATTGCTGGGCCCAACAGACGATACACATTAATAAACGACCCACATCGCCTGAAAGTAAAACCATCAAAGGGAAACGGGTCGACCAATATAAAATATGTTAACAACAATGAGACTGCCATATAAGGCTGTACATGGGTTGGGTTGGTGCGGGGTATGACTTTTTCTTACCCCACCCCAAAGGGTTCGGGTTGTACTTATTTGACCCCAACAATGTTAGTAAAATTTTACAACCTAATGATGTTTAGTTTGGGTTGGGTGGTCGGGTTCATGCTGGCAAACATAAATATATCTAAACAACAAAAATTTTGAAAATTAACTTCAACATTCAAAGTTCATCATCAAATAGAAATAATACTAATTAGTCTATCATCATACTAATTAGTCTATCATCAAACAATTGTCAATTCAAAGTTTAATCCAACCTTAAAGATGAAGCAAAGTAGTCCATCCAACATCAAATATAAAGTAAACATTAAACATGAAGCAAAATAGTCCATCCAACATCAAACATAAAGTAAACATAAATTTAATCAAAATTCAAATCCATCCAAAGCAAGTACTGCAACGGCAACCATCATTAGCAGTCCACACTCATAGGCTCCTCAGTGGTTGTAATAAGACATGAAGTTGAGTTATCTACAAGAAAAATGAAAATAGATTAAGTAATTACTTAGATACTTTAGAGCTCATATAATAGAAATAGGTATAACATTAACATATACGTACAACGGTACATAAAAATTGTCTTACCTAGATTTTGATAAGTCTCCAAGTCATCCAAATAGTCTCTTACTTGCATAGAATTATGTGTAGACTTCAACTAATTTTGAGTACAGACAAGAGCCTCCACCATCTTAGGATTCATAGAGCTCCTAAATGTGACACTATTTTCCTCATTGCCCTAATAATTTTCAAACTTCCTTCTCATCCCAAAAGCCATGGTTGACAACAAGCAATCACTATTTTCACATAACTCACTCAACCGTCTTTGAATGGAACAAATCTCATGAGAAAAAGTGTTGGAAGTGACATGTTGTGATGCACTAAGTTTCAAAGTGACTTCATAAAAAGTCTCAAGAAATTGAATAAAAACCTTAGCATTTGCCCAATCTTCCTTCATTGGTGGTCCCATTTTTCTCTTCCCACCATCTTCTTCCAAAAAGTATCATAAGTACTTTTCATCATTCTCTTCATATCTATCAAAAGCCTTTTGGAACTTAATAACAACATCTAACATCATGTATGTTGAGTTCCACCGAAACTGAAAAGATTATATTTACTCAACGAATAAGTATGCACACCACCATGAAAGTTAATCTGGAAGCAACAACTTCAATCTTCTCTGAATAATCAGTCACCACAGCCTTTGAAAGTCTAAGAGCATGCAATCAAATTAGTAATGTCAGATTTGGAGGGAAACACACACACACACACATCAAAGACAGAGGAATGGAAATGGATCATTTATATTAATTGAAATCTTTGAGAGAATTAGTAACGTCAGTCTTAAAGAATCTTATAAGTACCTTGGACCTTCTTCCAAGTTCCAACATCAAATAATACCTTCATAGAAAGAACAAATTGAGAATTTCCTAGTTCCTTTAGAAAACACACTTATTTCAGGGGCTATCATACACATGAACTTGGAACTTACACAAAGTATTGTCACCTTCAATAATGTAAATATTCAATCAAATCCATGAAAAAAAAAGAAAATAGACAATGTTAATTTATAAATTATCCAAAATGGCCTTGATGTAACCTGCATACAAATTATTCGCAAGGATGGTTTATTGTTATAGCTGTTTCTTAAAAATCCATAAGAAACACACACTTAAATGAAAAATTATAATTTCGACATAAAGCTTTTAACTCTAGAAGAGGATGTGAACAGTGAACCAACAACAGAGTATACCTTTGTCATTGTTGGCAAAAATCATGTCAAAACTCTCGAAACAAACGTTGCATTATTGTTTGTTTAATTAACTTAGCATTTACAGGAAGTTAATCGTAAAATGTTCACATTTTTATAATAGAGTAAATTGCACCGTCATATCTCAAACTATTCGGTTCTTGCATTAATGCACCCAGACTTTTAATTTTAAAAAATTACTTCTTAAATTTTAAAATCAGTAGCAATTAAGATCCAATAGTTAATGAATATTATTAAATTTATGATTTAAAACACGAGATTTTAAATGAAGGCAAAGATTATTTTTCAAACCATGTCATGTGCAAATGTTATATCTCAAACTGTCAATTTAATAACATCATCGGCTATTAAACTTTAATTGCAACTAATTTTAAAATTTATGATGCAATTTGTCAAAATTAAAAGTTAGGAGTCTACATGTAAAAATGCATGCAACATTGCAATTTACTCTTTATAATGTAATAACCAGAAAATTAACAGTCCCTAAAAACCTAGAAAATTAACAAAAAAAAATATATTTTTAATTACTGTTTAACCATACCGGTTGCTTAACTTGCTATAGAAGTCATATAAAGCACTATATTAATAATCAAATTATGCACTCCACCCATAAAAATGTAATCACTCATAATATGCATGCATACACACACACACACACACACATATATATATATATATATAAGAATAGTCTCACATCCGACAGGCCCAAAATGGCTGATCAGTCCGGCAATGAATCAACACCCTTGGATGAAAAAACGGAGGGCTAGATTGACTCAAGGATAGGCTAAAATTTTACAACGAATTACTCTAGAAAGAATACCGATCATAACTACTGTAATAACTTTATTGCCATTTCTTTATGATGACGTATTTACTTGTTTTAATTAAAATGTAATATTAATCTAACTAATGAGTGGCCTAATCAAATATCATAAAATTGAAGAAATTCAATGTTAATGATGTTAAATAAATTTCATAAACATACAAGGTTAATTATATAAGACAAAACTGGCACTAAGACAATAAAAAATTAGTGTTCTAATCAAATGTCATAAACACATAATTGGTGTTAATATTAATAAAGTCCTAA